AAATTAAATAACAAAAAAATAATAATAACACTGGTCTTTGACACCATGTCTGAAATCCCACGTGATCTGTCAAATACTAATGCATGAAAATCCTAACCTCAAAAAAATCACCCGTTACATATACATACTTAAAATAGTTGTCGGTATGGACTGATGGAATGCAAAAAATAGCAAAAAAGTATAAGACACCTTAATTTCAAAGTAAGGAAAATGATTAATGAGTGGCTGTTACGGGCACACGATAAAACGTGTCAAAAACTCCAAAGTATATAGTATAATTTAGAATATAAATAAAAATTAATTAAATATATGTGTAAAAAAAGGTTATTAACGGCCAAAAAATTTAATTTTGGTTTATAAGGCTTTCTTATAGTTTAAGGCCTTAAAAATCCAATGATATTAGTCACGGGTAAAAAAAAAACATTTTTTCAATTTTTTCAACAAAATCTAAAAACCAAATTGTCCATGGTAGCATTTTTTTAATGAAAATGTTTTTCGTTTTAAGACAAAAATTACTCCGGCCTGGGGGCCTATTCTGGTTCTATAAAACTGAAAAGTGAAAACGAAAATTTTCAGTGAAAATTTAATTTTTTCACTTTATCGTTTCGTTGTATCATTTTAAGCGATTCTCGATCATTAAAGTCTATTCCATTAACATCTGGCAAGTTATTATTTGATAGATTATTGTGATTTTAAGACAATGGCATTCTCTATCTAAAGATGATGGTTTAGAGAAAAACGCCCAACTTTTCTCTTTCACAGCCACAAAACCTTGTGACAGATGAATAAGCATGTACGTGCATAATTTTACTCGCGCTGCTCCAACATTGTCCATGACCAATTGAGCAATGCACTGGCGTACCAATCGAGAGATCCGAGCTTAGAACCTTCTGGCAGCGGGATATTTTTTTCTTTTGTTGGGTGCACTTTAGCCGACTCAATATTGGCCGCACTTTTTGATTTCGGGCGCACTATGCAGAGGGTCAAAACAAAGTAACAGCTAAAATAATTTTAAGTTTTATGTTTCTAGTAGATATAACGAAATACACATGTTACCTGCTTTAATGTACATATTTATGTTTTTCCTCTGGTCTAATATGAGCTAAATGTACTTACTTTGTACTATGCGCCTCATTGTAGTTCATTAGCAAATGCAATATTGTCTCTCGATATTCCAGCACATAGCAGACATTATTCAAGAGCATATCGAAGAGTGCCAAAGCTCTATCATCCTTTACTTTCTGCAGCGCCAGTAAACTCAGCAACAATTCGCGGAATGTCTTTAATTAAAAACAGGAAAACATAAATAATAAATAAACAAAGTAAACGAGGAAATGGGAGAGAATGAAAATAAAAAGAAACAAAAAGAGAACTTCAATACAAATTTAAAGATTATGGACACATATTTAGACGAGTAATAAATAATGGGTGAAAGCATGTACATACATTTTTATCTATGTATATTTATGCTTAATGTGATCAAAGTTGACATAGAAGCCAGCACTGACTACATTACGCCGGTATGGAACTTAAATACTAAGAAACATACATAAATATTACGTTTTCGACTAGATAAGAGTGAGATGTAGGACTCTCAGTGGCAGGAGGGGGTGTATCCATCTAAAGTGATGGTTGTAAAATGGATAAAAGCGCCGAAGCCCGTCTTCACTCGGAGGGACTTCAAGTCCACCAGTTCTTACGTCTGTCGAACGACTGTAGTGCCCACCAAGCAGAGATCTACGCTAAAGAAAAGGCGGCTAGCTTTTAGTGAATAGTACTAATGACTCTTGGAACAAGCAGGAAGACTGTTAGATCTCAAGATCTTAAACTTAATAGATCTACACTAAAAGTCGTTATCGGCGTCATCACGAGTCACTGCACCAATGATTCAATGATGGCGAGTACCAATAAGTATTATCTGCAGAAGCTGCCGCGATGAAAATGAGGATGAATCAATTGACAACTTTTGTCTGTCACTAGAATAAAAGTGCTAAAGATAGCTATTATTTATTAAAGAGAAAAGCAAAATAAGTTCAAAGTTTGTTAGATCAAAAGTAAAACAAATAAAAATCAGTGAAAATTTCACGTTTGGGCTTATTAACCGACTTCAAACAACGGAGGAGGTTATCAAAGCAGACTTCGCTTAGTAAATGGCATTCAGCCAAAAGACCACGCGAGATTTCCTAGCCATATGTGGATTAAAGATGATCTGTAGTTGAATACCTAGGTAACTGCTCACTCCTCTAAATTTTATCTTTCTCTTAACTGGGGTAAGTCTTGCAAACTTCAAAATAAATCAAATTTTTACTGAGAGGTGATGATTTGTATGAAACTAGATCGTCCTCACCCGCTTCGCTGAGTGTATGAAATTTCTACGTGCTACCTTAGGTGTAATTTATTTTCATTAAACTCTACATACTTAAAATATGCGAAAATTAGGAGAGTTTAAATTTTTCAAATTTCTTCGGATTGTAATAACTCATTAAACTTATAATATAATTGTAATTCCATTTATATTTAAAACAGGTGGCAACCATCTTAAAAAACCTCAGAAAACTCTACATGTTCAAGGTGAACATTTCTAATTCAAACTCGACTTTTAAAACAGGTGGCAACCCTCTTTGGAATATTTTCCCGCTAAAACTCTATTAAATCCGTTTTCTGACATTCATATTGTGTTACACATTCCAATCATCAAATTCCTTTAATTCAAGAAGAATTTGGTTTTTCAAACAGGTGGCAACCTCCTACATGTAGTTTAGAACAAAACTCTTATCAAAAACCTTTCGATTGATACCCATATTGTAGTAATTCATTTAAATAAACTGAATTTAATTTTTAAACGGGTGGCAACGCTTGTACACCACCTTAGTAATATTTTAAATATTCAATTTGAAAGTTTCATAGCAATCTTTCATTTGACACCCATATATTAATTTTTCAGATAGCTTGCGAATAATTGGTTTAAATTTGACTTTTCGAACAGGTGGCCACCCTTTCCAAAATACTTTCAAACTACAACTTTTTAAGCCTCTTGTCATCCATTGTTTAATATAATTTTCAAATAAATAATTTCCTTAATTCAAGTCGAATTTGATTTTTTAAACAGGTGGCAGCCCTCCTCCATGAGTATGGAATTGATTTTATACACATACATACATGTATCCATACCAAGTTCCTATACTTTATCAAAAATATTTTGTGAGATATGATATGCGGTATGAAAATTCCGTTCCTCGTATAATCGGGATTAAATCTATCCTATATTTTAAATGGCACCAGTGTACAAAATTTAATGGGAATCGGTTGAGTAGTTAAAGCGTAAAAGCGTTACAAATAAATAAACTCACTTTCTCACATAAAAAAGTCCGGTTTTTTCGATATTCGAAAAATCAAGATTTGAAAAAACTGAAAAAAACGGTGGAAACCGGTTTGGAAATATCGAGTCCATCACCCTAGTCTCTATTTATATGCTCCTAGCCAAGCCTAACCTAATAAGATAGGTTAAATAGAGCTAGAGACAAATTACAAATTTACTTTTGTCCGTTATCGCACACTATTTTCATTTCAGAAGACTCCCGCTGTAATACGTCGGGTGATATTTTTGCTGAACATTCATTAGGAAATTTCCAAAAGGTTCTCCGGTGAATATGCCACTGATTTATTTACACAAGTGAAATTCAAAAGTGTTTGCTCTTTAAGTTTACTACTTTCAGTTACAAGACACCGTGTGCTTGTTAAACAGGCAGACAAATACCAAATGAAATCATGTTTTACAATAAAAACTACCTCACAAGACATCTAATTAAGCAAATCGTTGTTAAAGAAGCGGAAGCTACATCAGGATCAGACAGGTAGAAGCGCGCATTTCTAATGAGTATATAGACTCAGAGTTTGCAAGTCAAGCAGAGACAAACTATGCCAAGCGGTGTTGCACCATGCCCTGAGTACCATTCATTCACAATCAATGGGTATGAGTGTAGGTTATTTAATAGGATCCTTTGGCACTTTTAAGTCACCTGAATGGCAAGCTTGCAAAAGGAAGCGCAGGACACATTATAAGTAGTGCAAAACCGTTAGTACATAGTAAGCTGGCTGCTTTTAATTAACGGCAGCTCCGGCCAAAGACATGCGCTGAATTCGATTCGTGTTAATGAACCAGCTGTAGCAATAACAATGACACGCCAACTAGGGAATCTCTCAACAAACTTGATAGTATCAACAGCAGCAATCGACACCAAATCCAAAATGTTGTAGGCAAAGGGTTTGCAGCGACTATGGCAACAGCATTGTGGCACGTAAATGTAATGAACTGCAAAAGCAGCTTTTCTTGCTAAATAATCTTTCTGTAAAATGCCACACGTGACTTTGTCTTAGCAAATACATACTTAACATTTTTTTTTCTTGCGCTTGTGCTTAGTACGAATACATTTACTATTTTGCGACAAGCAACCAATACTTCAGCCACTGGTTCTTTACGTCTACGGCTATGTCTTGAACTCTTCCCCATTAGACTGCTTTGAGAAGTAAATTTTTGTTTGTGCTGTTGCCAGTTTCTTTGCAAACTTTTGATTTCTTGACATCCTCGAACCGCTGCGCTTCCACCTAATAACCGTAAAATGTGATAAGTCACTGCTGCTGTTGCGTTGGTTGGCAGCACTCCAATTTGCCGGCATTTCAACGCATTTGCAGCGCCTACTGCACATGCCCTACTACATACACGCTAGGAAGGCGGTGATGTGCAAGCAAATTTGTGGCAAGTTGCATCAACAGAAAATATACAGATTTGAAGTTGTCATGGAGGTGTGAGGTGAGCAACGAGATGAATAAAGGAAGGAAAGTGATGAGAATAAGTAACGTAGAAATGAAGGCGAGAGGTGAATTGCGTACTTGTAAGAGAGATGAGCCAGCAGGCATGCAAACGTGTGCTGCAAAGACGCAGAAGTTGCATAAAAGGCAATGCGTGTTGAAAGCAGTATTAGCCCAACAATGTAGAGAAGATAATCAAAAATTTTAGAAGTAGCAAAATGTGTATGCAAATTTGAAGTCTTTTAAAATAGAGGGCAAGAGGCAGGTTGCCACACAAAAAAAGGGATGTTTAAAAGGGGCCGTAAGCTCCCTTACAAACGATTTAGCCGAATGGAGTGGCTTGAAACTCGGCTGAGAGTATTTTTGTACTTCGCTTTTCTAGAACTTAGAAAAACCATTATCGGTCCGAAACTACATATAATATAATACGGCATAATGAGGATTGTTATTGATAGTTTGAAAGTGTACACCTCGGTAGCCAAAATGTTTAAGTACACGAAATTAATATACTTGCTTTTAACAGGTGATCTTAAAATAAAATTTCCGCGTTAAAAGTATGTATTTCCATCAGTTATTTGAAATAATGGTAAAAGGTTAAAATGAAAAATCCACAAAAAAATTCTTTGTATCGTGCGTGTATCGTACCCTTGAGCCATTAAAAAATTCGCTTATTGGAATGCGTAAGACAGCGCACATAGAACACCACACACCGGCAATAAGTAACTTACATGCGCATGCAGTATGCCAAATCAAAATCCCAACAAAAACCCTGTCAAAACGATCCTGAGATGAACAATTTTTCGCTATTAAAGAATATTTCTACAAATATAGCGACTTGATTTTTCTGTTATCACAATGTGGGTGTTCACACTTGGCTGATTAACAGGTTATTACTTTTTTTTGGTACTTGGTTATCTTGTTATGTGGTTACAATAATAAAATACACTACAGTAGAATAATTTTTAACCAGGTAACCAGATAGCCAATCAAAGGTGAACACCCAGATTTCGTATTCAATTTACAACAGTAAAATACAATATAGAAAAAAAATGTTAACCAGATAACCCGATAACCAGGCAAGTGTGAACACCCACAAAATATTTCATGACTCGGTTTGGGTGTCAGGGTGTTCAATGTCCATGTTTTGATGCCATGATTGGGACTAGCTAAGAGCCAATTATGGGGTCGCAAAAGTGCATTATACAGACGTTTTAGGTTGTGAACGCCCTCAACACTACTCTGTTCGAAATTAAGGCGTGAATCTTTTTAGAAGAGACAGTCTCCGATAAGGTTTTCAACTGCACAGGTTTTATCCATACAAATAATTCTTGATACAGACCTTAGGTCAGTGAATTCTTGATGACAAGAAATCTTCATTCACTCTTATCAAGAATTAATTTCTCAAACAGATTTCCTTCAAATTTCTTATTTTGTGGCACAGAGGTACTTATGAAAAAACATATTCGCCAATGATTGTTTTAGGAATTGCATATATAGACAAATTAAAATCGTTCGATTTTCTTTTACTTATTTCCAAACGGTGAAAACCGAAACCGGTTGATTTAAAAAAAAACAACGCTCTACTCTAGATCCTAATGCAAAAACGTCGCAAACATGGTTCAAAAATTACGTTAGTGGCATGAATTCTGCGGATGTTTTCCAACCGGTTCGACTATAAACCGCTTATGAGACCTCGGCTTTTTCTACTGACATCCACATTTCGGATCTATCGCGAGCAGAAACGAATTTCCCAATCATTTAGTTACCAGACCAACAAGGTTCTGACAACGGATTATTTTAGAGGGGTCAAAGTTTACATTCTTTTGGACATTCTTATGGGAATTTGGCATAGGAAACCGAAGTCGGAGATTTTAGCTAATTCTACCCTGGTTAGTATTTTATCACTAAATGTTAATTCCAATTAAAACAAACCGTTCATCCTTACTGCTTTTCAATTCACCAGCAGCGAAAAAGTGCAACTTCTACAAAGCACACAAATATGTACATACATACTAAAATTAATACGTAGAACGTAGCACAGTGTACATTTTTAGGCGTTTGAGTGATCAATAATCTTCTTAAATAGAAAATTGTCTACCGACAGCGACAACAAAAAATTTAATTATGCTCCAATTTAATCTTGAAACGTTACCCCAAACTAACGAAATTAAAAGAATACATATATAATTTCGCAGAACTTTCTTTTTCCTTTTCAGGAACTCTACTTAGAAGCTACTCAGAGCGGTTTTAACTTTTTTTTTTAATTTAACTTTTACGAAAAAAAATAAATTCTGCGTAGTTTTGCAGAACTTTCCTTTTCCTTCTCATGAACCCTAGAATTATTAAAAAGCTACTCAGAACAGTTTTAACATTTATTTTTTTCAAACATTCCGCTTTCTCGACTTTTTTGAAAAAAAAAAAATAATAATTTTGGCGAAATTATGCCGAACTTTTTCCCCCTTTTCAGAAACTCTAGAACTATTGAAAAGCTAATCAGAACATTTTTTTATTTGCCTTTTTTGCCGCGTGTCGGATGCTGCAAGAATCTAGCATAAACAATTTTTGAAAAAATTTATTTATTTTTTCAAAATATCCAGAACTTTTTTCATTTTTCAAGAACTCTAGAACAATTGGAAGGCTAGACACTCAGAACAACTTTTTTATCGTTTTGCGTCATACCGTATGCCAACTTCCCAGACCTGTTTTTTTTTTGGCATTGGAATAGACTTAGAAAAATAAATACAAATCGACTTTGTAAATGACCTGAAAAAAAAATCTAAAACTATACAATTTTCATTCAAACTTCGAGTCTTCGAAAATTTCATTTCTTGTGCATTGCAAAGTTTCATGTGGCTATCGTTAAATTAATGAAAATTATTGATAACAATCAACTATTTAATTATTCTTTAAATTTTACCATGTAAAATCAGGCACAAATTGATTAGAAATCGTATTTATTCATATTAAAGTTGCTAAAAAAATTTTCAACTATTTTCATCAAATCAGCATTTCGGTCAAACGTACATTTACTCGAAGTTATTAATCCGCACTATTTTATGATTCAATTCTCATAGATTTCTGTTTTGTTTTTTAAGGCAAAGTTAACCCAATTTTTTGTCTATAGTTATACGATTTTTGTACTTTAAAGCCTTTTTACATAAAAACCTGCACTTTACCGCAGCTAGTATATATATGTATGTACATACACAATTACTTGGGATAACTCATAGTAGACGCCTGTATAAATAATTGTTTAAGCTAGTTCTGGCAAAGTATGTAAAAGCTTAGCTAAAGGTAAAAAATGTAACAACTAAAGCTTTTATTATCAACACAAAAATGAATGCACACAAATTTAAGAAATGGCTTACTTTAAATAAACGATATATAAATCTTTCAAGGAAAAACAAAATTTTTAAAATATCATTTGCCGTTTATAAACACTACGTCTCCAAAGTTGAAAATGTTTATCACAAAATATGTTTTTTTTTTTTTGACTAAACTTAGTTGGGTTTTAAATCAAATATCTTTCGAACCAAACTAGGCAGAGGGAAACCGAAAGCAGATTTAGAAAATTCAGAGTTTCTTTATTTAGGTAATTATCACACTAAAAAATATTTCATAAAATTTGTTCATGTTTTTAGCTATTTTTGATCAGTCACACCCTCAAAAAAGTGTGCCGTGCGCAGGTATGTACTTGCAACTACATGCATAGATACTCACCTGTATTGCGACATGTAAACGCTTTGCCCATATGCGCGCTTGCTTCTTGTCGCTGACAATCATATCCATATCGTGTTGCATGCGCGTCAGTACCCAGTGGAAGCACTGCACACTCAGCGATTCACTGCAATGGAGAGACGAAAGAAAAAGAAAAACGTCACCTTACATACATACATATGTATTAATGTGTGTCCTATAACTACAAGTATTAAGGAGCTCGGAAAAGTATGCAAAGTAGATAGGTGTAAAAGTGCGGAAAAGCGTGCAAAAGCGAAGTGATGAGTTTAAGTGTTAAAAGAAAAAAGAAAGTAGAGTCTTTGTGCAAAAGTAGAACTCCTTGGTTGCTACTTTGGCAAGGCGGGAACGCAAAGGAATTCGCAAATAGTCGCTGATGTCATTAACGAAATTACAGACAGAAACGCATAGCTGCGCGTGGATACTTAAAGAAGCAGACAGACGGCTATCTGATATGTTTCAGCGACGAGGTGCAACATCTGTGTGTGAATTATGTAAGAGACTTTCTCAGTTAAAAGTATGTGTAAATGGGGGAAAAACTTTAAATTTTCTTAGTGGTTTGTTTTAATTATCTAGACGCTTAATCGCACTCTAATCTCCAGGTAACTAAAACGAAATTAAAATAGATCTAATAATATTTAAAGTAGACTCATTACAAAAGAAATATTGTATGAATTTACATGAATGAGAAGAGTTTTATTTAAATTAATTATGTGTAATATTTTAATAATTTATTTGAAGCTTGCACAGCTTAGACTGACTTTTTATGGATGAGGCCCAATGTATCGTTTCAGGATGGCATCACTGGCATCGATCCCTCAAGCGACACAGAACCTGCATACTCGTCGCTTCTATAGTTCGAACTTGGCCCAAAAACTACTAGATGAAATTCGGTAAAAGTTTCGGTGGTTATTCCTTGCATATTTTGCTTTATTATAGGATACTGGAAATCTCGATAGGTGGATAATGTATGCCACTTGCATTATAAAATATAATAACCATAATAATAACAATAGATTGGCGCTTACACATATTTTAGTGTTTGGCCGAACTTCTCCTCCGATTTATGGCGTGCGCCTTGATATTATCACACAAAGGGGAGGGACCTACAGTTTTACGCCGACTCCGAACGGAAATTTTATTTTTATGAGAAGCTGCTATAAAATATACTTTTGCAAAAATTGGGCCAATAGTGCGGCGATGGAGTCGAGACATTTAAAAAATCGGTCAGCGCCTCTTCACAGCGAGGATACTAGAACCCTTTATAACAGCAAACGCACATCGCAGCGCAAGGGACTGATATCCAATCCCGAAAGCTCATTGGAAGTGTACCATAGGTACTTAAACCTTAGGTTCGAAAAGGAGGGGCACCAGAGCAGCAGGTATTGACATGATTCCACCTCATCGTCCACCATGCAGCTGATGCAGTAAGCGTCAGCGATGATATGCAGCTTAACGGCATGCTTACCTATCACGCAATGGCCTGTTAGAACTCCCACCAATTGCGAAATGTGTAGCTTGCTAAGTCTCAAGAGCTCCCTGGACTGACTCCGTTCTAAGCGCGGTCAGAAGGATTTAGCCACCTTGCATTCCAAGGTCAGGCAAACCATTTAATCAAATTCTTGCAGAGATCTAACAGGTAGAGATAAGACCATCGGCAAAGCTCACAGCATTGAAAGGGACTTGTATTTTATATGGCATCACAGCGCTATTATTCTTGGCCTATATGTAAGGTAGATTCAGCTCTGCAGTCGTTTCAACAAAAACCAGTCGGCAAAGTTACAAAAAAAGAGGTCTTCCTGGAGCCCTTATTTCGAGTACGTATTTTGAAGCGATAGGCCTTCCGTGCGCGATTCATTACTCCTTTTCATTTTGTATGGAATGACAGAATTACCAGGCCTTCTGATCCAGCTTCACATAAAATAATGAAACAGTTTGAATTTTACTTTGCAGTAGACATACACCGATGCGTCTACTGCGATTTTTTCTTCTATTTGAGTCTGGTTGCCTTCGAAAAACACCTTCACATCTTCCTTCGAATGGCAGGGCTATTAAAAGATACTTATTTGACTTTCACTGCCATGGAAATCCAACTTTCTCGTCTAACTTCGAACGGCAGCGCTATAGGAAGCTATTCTAATAAAGCTTCCAAAGAGAAGAACTAATTGAAAAATCCCTGCCTAAAGACGTTTATTAAAGAGCGCGCCTCCTTTTTCCGACTGCGAACCTACGAACAGCGTTCAAAGCGTTAATTCCGGCGCATCGCAAAAAATCGTCACATACAAATATTGATTTTTACTGTACTCGTATTAGAGGATGAGAAAAAACCTTTAAATAAATATTTAACAAATAAAAATAGTGCAAGTCTTCAATTACACGGTTTTTTCTGAAACTTTTATCAAGATTTATACTAATACATACAGAAATTTAATTTTTTCCGGCATCATAAAAATATTTTTTTTTTTCGAGAGAAAACACAATCCCACGGCTACAGTTGAGAAGACAATTGAAATATGCACAAAACAAATTTTACCATTGTTGTGCACAAATAGTATATTTTAACTTAAATAAGCTTTTGTTGAAAATTTTCAAAGAAAAATTTATAGAAACCACAAAAAAAAGAAAAAATAAAAATGAATACTCTAGAACAGCTGAGGAACTCGGGTGAAACCCCCAAATAAATTGCATTAATGCCGACAAGCAAAGTTTTGCAAATTGCAAGCAACAAGCAGCTAGCTGCCCACAAGACTTTCATTTGTCAGTTTTTCGCAAGAGGTGCGCCACAAGGAGGTGTATTGTCTTGTTCTACACAACTATTTGGCACAGTTGGGCGGCGACCTACTACAACACAACAACTATAGAATGGATAAATAAGTGATTGAATTTCTCAAAGAGAGGCAGAGAGAGAGAGAAAGAGAGAGGCTGCAGAGGCTCAAGAAGCAAAGGCAGACAGCAGCGAAATGACAACATTTTTGTAAAGCTTCATTCTTGTCATACAGAAACTAATTTGAAAGTAACCAAAACAATTTTAAAGAAATTTTCACCGTAGCAACAACAAGAAATACCATAACAAATGACAAGTAAAACGGTCGAAAAGAGAAACCTCAACCTGGGCAGGAAGTAGAGGAATTGTAGTGAACTAAGTAAATTGTCTGCTGACTAACGGAAGTCGTCCTAGCCATATGCAAGAAAACAGCAAAAGCAAGAAGACAACCGCATTCCAGAGTGTAAAGAAATTTGCGAAATTTCGTTAGCTATGAATGGACAATGCAACAATAGTTAAAGCTACCACTTCAATGGGTAGCTAAAGTTGTAAAACAAAAACAAAAACGTAATAAGTAGTGCCAACGCAGGAGACGTTATGGGCAATGCAGTGCAACAAGAACCAACGCCAAATTGCTTTTTGCTCGCCTGGGCGCCTCTTCGGCTGTGCGTCTATTCTTTGGCTATTTTTGAAACAATAAAACGATTGAGTTTTAACAGGAAAAAACAGAAGCAAAAATATTCACCAACTTTCGACCATTTCCGCTCGTCTCATACCAATACGTTTTTTCCGAAAAAAAAACACCCCAAATAATGAAGCAGTTGACTTCACAGAGACAGGGAGATGAGACGCGGCAGTGCTTTTGCTGGTTTCAAAACCGGATGCGGGTGAAAGCATTTTGTCCGGAGCTTCCGCGGGTGCACTAAATAAATTTAACTTGGCGATAGACAATAAAATCTCACCAAGAAGGACACTGTGCACGTTAAAGTACGCACAGCAAGCAAGAAGCTTCCTTTAGATGTTATTGTAGTCTAAAATCATTCCTTATTGTTTTTCTGGTCCCCGCAACCCGACCGGCAGTCCAACTGTTCAATGCTCTAGTTGGCATTCTAAGCACAGTGTCTAGTGAAAGTGCGTTTCATTATAAAGACCCAGTTGTGTCTTTGCCTATAGGAACTGCCTACCGCAGTTATCGTATTATAAATATTTGAGCGAAATTAAGTAATTTCGTTTTCTGACGACATCTGGTGGCTCGTGGACTATTCGAAGGAAATAATTTGCGTGTCTTTAAGTGTTGGAGACGGCAAATACCGCAGACGACGGAAAGATGAGCTGTATGGGCTTTAGAACGTCGTGAACATACACTCTAAAAAGTGCATGTAAAAATACTACTGAAAAGTGTTTATTTTCCAACCAGAATCTGTTCAAGTATACGCACAAGATGTTCAAGATTCGATTTTGAACATGAGTTGTTTAAAATATACATATAAATATACACATTAAATGTTTCAAATTACAAACATTTTGAAGGTACAAATATATTTTTTACAAATAATAAATACTAAGTGCCAGGGGCGCACGTAGAAATATATTTTTGGGGGAGAGAGTTTATACTTCTAAATATATATCATCAGAAAATACTGAAAATTCGCTGTTTAAAATACATTTATGCAAGTTTTATGTACAGAATGAACTAAAAAAATAAACTTTTTAAAGTTTCATAAATTGCATTTTATTTACATAAAATGTACAAAGAACTCAGACATTTTCAACCGGCTTCAAAAAAGGGGAGGTTGTCAGTTCTTCGGAGTATTTTTATTTCTTTTATTTATTTCACCGCATAACTTTGCACTGCGTGAACCGATTTTTTTTTACCGGAAAGATAGTACCGTCGTCCCGTAACTTGGTTTAGATCCGATCAGTAAATCATGAAAAAATTAACGGTTAAAGATGCACTCAACATTCAAAAGTAATACAACATTTTACAAAAGAATTTTAATATAAATAAATTAAATAATTTCACGAAAGTTTTACACTTTTTTATTCATTTTCGTCGATTTCTTGTTTCTCATTTTTTAATACTTCGAATAACGAAAATTTAGCTGAACTTGTATTTTTATCATGTAGCTCATTTTGGTGAAACGAATTCCAAGTTAGCAAATTAAATCTTCGAATGCTTCTTAAGTACATATCAGTGGTAAACTTTTTTAGGCTGTAAAGTGTAAAAAGCAACAGTAACAGGTCTATTCTGCGCTGGTAATAAAAAGTTTGTAACCGGTAAATAAAGTTCCTGTAAATTCTTAAACCCTTTTCGCATTCTGTGTACTCTTGTAACCGGTAAATTT